CTTCATCGTGAATATCTGACGGCCGATCGAAATGGATAAAATTCAAGGCACTGCTATTGGTTGATGGTGACTGGCATAGGGAATCCAGGATGCCATTTCATCATTTATTCCTGAAATCACATGGTACACATCATTCAAATAAATTTAATCTTTGTATTGACTTGGTTGAAAATCACTATAGGGAAACTACTAATTGCTTTAGACAGCAAGCAACATGATAATAATTACCTCATTAACTAACTAACTAACTAACTGACTGACCAACAAATAGACAGTAGGAAATAGAACAATTTTAATTTCTAACAGATATCACAACAGGAACAGAAAAAACCCAACAGTCAAACAAACAAACAAAAAAACAAGCAGGCAGAAACTATATGACAATGTCAAAGAATATTCAGAAAAATGGCATGGCTAACCCTGATAAACATGACTGTTCCTACACAGACACACACACGCACGCAAGCACACATGCGACCGCTAGCTAACTGGATATATCAATATATAAAAGTTGAAAGGATCTACAAATCCCCATTCAAGAATTGCACAGAGATACACAAGTGCATGGATGACAGGTTAGTAGGTAGGTATCTCTGCTAGGCAAATAAGAGTAGCACGCGAATACTATCAAAAGTCAACAGGATGTAGTGAATATTTACAAAAAAAACTTAGCTGCTATTTGTAGGAAGACGAAGTAAAAGAAAAAAAAAGATAACTGGGAATAAAAACAGACAAAGTGGAATGGGAAAAACGCTATGATAATCCTTTCAAGTAGGCATATTCATTCCAAATCAGTAAATAAATATACGAATTGCGTGATAAAACGCAAAAATGTGGTATATATACAACGGGTTTTGAGTAGCCAGAAAGGTGACGTAACTAGAAAGTCTATGCTGATGCGATGCAGAAATCAAATAGCTGAAAAGAATGACACACGAAAACATGGATTTACAGAAGAGTCTATCATTGTCGCATTTCATTTTCATAGTAAAAGAAACAGGCATGTTATTACGGTGGTTGACATCCAGTCTAGAAATAAACCAATCAGAATTTGGCCCACGTGATTGATCGATTTCCAGTCAGGAAATAGACCAATAAGAATTGGCCTCTGTGAAATAACTTTAACTAGTTTATTGATTATGATTATAGACAAGACTTTAGGTGAACATAGAGAAGTCGGGGGTAATGATGATGACTAACCAATCAAAGACAACAAACACCAAATACTATCAACGGAATAAATTCGACAGATGTCGCTTCTTTCACTTATCTGGTTAGGGAGCATCGTTTCAACTATATGAGGAACGGATGAAGGTGTTAAAGCCAGAATCGAAGAAGCAAAGTACGTCTTCATCATTCTAAAATCCGTTTGGAAACCTTCTTAACTCAGAATAAGGAAGAAGATTCAGATCTTTACCACCAATGTTAAGTCAGTCAGTTCTCCTATATTATTCAGAAACTTGGAGTGAGACACTGTTAAGGAAAGCAGTGTTAGAGAAAAGAAGTGAAGGATAGCCAAATCAAGACGTTGAATCAATCCACCAAGTAAGTGACTGTTAGTCTCAGGAACACAGAGAAATATGAGGTTATCTGGCTGCAATCCATTTAACAATCCAGACCTACACAATAAGGAACTTTTTGACTCAAAATTTATTTAAATGATCTAAGTGCATTTGTACTTAGAAGTTTGTGTAGCGATTCGAATGACTTTAGGGCTATGCCCAACATTCCCTGTCTCCCTGAACTCTGACAGTGAAGCACCTAGCACACTGGGTCAGGTTAGGCGAAGAAAGAACTAAGACAAGGGTGTCTACTGTTAACAAAAATATTCGTGGCTGTGGTGAACGTGTTCATGAAACATACCATGAGGAACAGGAAGATTCGACCGACTAAATAATCTTGGAGATTTCAACTTCGAGGGTGATTTATTTCTAATGTTATAATAACTAGACGATCTACAGACAAAAACCAACAGGTTTTCAGAAAAGACAACGAAGACAGAATTTCAAGTAGACATAGAGGCAAAGTTAAACCTTCAGCATCACTAACAACCAATAAGCAATATACAAAATCTGTGTCCAAAAAAATCCCTACGAAATATTGATATTACCAGCTTACATTCTCTAATGCTAACTCGTGTCTCAAAGAAATTTCACAACGATGGACAACATATCCATCAGTCGACCTGCTGAAGCTTTTTAAACTCATCACACGAACAAATTATCTCCTTCCTAAGCAAGCCCAAATCCAGGAAATACTGCAAAACATTATCCCCCTTGAACTGCAACCATAGCTTCGTTAGGGCACACATTTGAAACGATTCAAGAGCTATACAACATTGAACTCAACTTCATGAATCTCATTGGACAATTCGACTTCGTTAGCTGAGTGGTAGTTAGCGGTGGCGGTGATGTCAATTGTATGTTGTGTTTCAGAAACACGCATACAAGACCCAAGTGTGGTTATTCACCTAACCCCACCTGGCCAACAGGATGAATCTTCAAAATTCACCTTGAGGGTGTCAGGAGATGCCACAGCTAGTTCACGAGGATTAGCTGGCGTAGGGATAGCTTGAGTACTAGGGCAGAAAAGACATTACTTGACTGGATCCCAGTAGATAGCCGAATGTGTGCTGTCCGTCTGAACGGATCAGTAAGAAGGAGAAAGGACTGCACTACTCGCCGATGCCTTTTCGTAATCTCCGCCTACGCCCCCACTGACTGCAGTTCGGATGAAACGAAGGATGAGTTCTACCAAAAGCTGTCTAGTTTGGTGAGAAAGGCTAAACGCTCAGATATAGTCGTTCTAGCTGGTGACTTTAATGCTCAAGTAGGGAAATTGTGTCAATCTGAGAAGGATGTCGGTGGCACCTATGGAGTTCCGTGCCAGCGAACCGACAACGGTGACCGTCTCCTACAGTTCTGTTCAGATAATCATTTGTTTCTTGTAAGCACTAACTTTAAACACAAGGAGAGACACTGTTTAACCTGGCGACCCCCATCATCAAACCAACGCTGGACACAAATAGACCACATAGCAATAAGCTATCGTTGGCGTGGGTCGGTAGGAGATTGTCGCTCCTTCTGGAACACGTGTGTAGATACCGATCACGCACTGGTCCGGGCTCGTGTGTGCTTACGACTGAACGGACGTAGGAAACAGCTGGCGGTAAAACCATCACGTCCCCAGCTCGATCAGGAAACTAAATCCCTATTTGAGGAAGAACTAGCTAAACGCATATCTGAATTCGACAGCTGTGCTCACCCTGGAGAAGCCTGGAAGAATATTCAGTCAGCTATAGATACAGCTGTAAAAGCTGTGAATAAGGCAAATCCAAAGGTGAGTAAAAACCACTGGATTTCGACTGCCTCATCCGAACTGATAGATGCTAGAAGACTTATTCCGGCGAGCTCCGAATTCAATGAGGAGCGAAAGCTGCACAAAAGGAAACTTACTAAAAGTCTCCGCAAGGACCGTGAACAGTGGTGGGTGACAAAGGCGAAAGAGATGGAAAAAGCATCGGCGATAGGCAACACTAGGCAACTCTTTAGACTCATCAGAAACGGGTGGGAGAAGGCAAATCATAAGTGAGACTATTTCTGAGAAAAATGGCTCCTTAATTAGCTCTCAGGATAGACGCCTTGAACGCTGGAAAGAACACTTTGAGGACAATTTAACTTGCCTACAGCCACACTGAACCTCCCCGACATCCACACACACCCGAATGGGATATAGACACTGGTCCGCCGTCTGTAGTGAGGTCACAAAAGCTATCAGTAATTTGAAACGAGGCAAAGCGGCAGGACCCGACGGAATTATTCCGGAGGTGTTTAAATATGGGGGTGACATACTAGTTTGTAGATTAACTGAGGTACTAGGCAAAGTCTGGGAATCAGAGACAGTGCCATCAGACTGGGGTAAGTCACTTATTATACCGATATTCAAGAAGGGAAACAAGTCCTCGTGTGATAATCATAGGGGGATCAGCCTAACGAACATAGTCTCTAAAATCCTAGGCTCAGTAATCATGCATAGACTAAGCAGAACTCGGGAGGAACAGACAAGGGAAAATCAAGCAGGCTTTAGACCAGGTAGAGGGTGCATAGATCATATCTTCACTCTTCGACAGATTCTAGAACATAGACACACTTTTCGGCGTCCAACAATTGTCATATTTCTTGACTTGAAGGCGGCCTTCGACTCCGTGGATCGAAAGGTACTATGGCAATGTCTGACTGTGAAGGGAGTGCCAAGAAAGTACATTGCACTAATCAAGGCACTCTATTCAAACTCACGTAGTCGTGTAAGGGCTTATGGGGAATTGTCATCTGAATTGGTAACAACCAGTGGTGTCCGACAGGGATGTCCACTTTCCCCATTTCTGTTTAACTTCATCATAGATATGCTGATGGAAGTATCCTTAACTGAACGTAATGACTTAGGAATCGACTTGTTACCAGGGAATAGTCTTATGGACTTAGAATATGCAGATGACATAGTCCTGTTAGGGGAGGATGCTGACAAAATGCAGAGTCTTCTGAACACCTTGAGCAGCAATCTTCGTATGTTTGGCATGCGATTCGCCCCTACAAAATGTAAGATGCTGCTACAGGACTGGACCACGTCAACCCCTAACTTAGTGATAGGGAGTGAAGTGATAGAACATGTTGACCACTTCACCTATTTGGGAAGTTGTATTAGCACCAACGGACTGATTGGCGATGAAATCTCAGCACGGATCCGAAAAGCTCGAGCTGCTTTCGCTGACTTACACCATCTCTGGCGTAGGCGTGACATCCGGTTATCAACCAAGGGACGTGTGTACTGCTCATCAGTTCGCTCCGTCCTTCTCTATGGCTCTGAAACATGGCCAATACGCGTTGAAGACATGAAAAGGTTGACTGCTTTCGATCATAGATGTCTGCGATCTCTGTCTCACGTTAGGTGGTTTAAAAGGTAAGTAATGTTGACGTTAGGCGTAGAGTGTTGGGCAAAGAGGGAAAATCAATCGACGAGGCTATAAAGTTACATAGACTAAGATGGCTAGGTCACGTGCTGCGCATGCCTAACCACCGCCTCCCCCGACGGGCATTGCTAGCTGATATAGGTTCAGGTTGGAAAAGAGCCAGTGGTGGCCAAACAAAAACATGGCCTCATCAATCCATGAAATCCTTGACAGTTAAACTGAGTCAGGTAGGGAGATGCAGACTCCCGGGTTGGGGCCCTCGGGACTCTAGGAATCAATGGCTGGAGACAATAGGTGACATGGCTCAAAATCGTTGTCAATGGCCAGCGCAGATGTATTCAGTCTCTGTAATCTTTCATATTCCTTTCTACCATTACCCATTCTGTTTCACTCTTATACTTGTCAAACTCTATTGATTCTCTTCACTCATCTTCTTGTCTACCTTTGTGTGCTATTTGGAATGGCAACTCGAACTGCTGCACTTCGGTGCCAAGTTCTATGTTGAATCCAGATAGACAGATATCAATTGGAGCACTGTATAATATTCAATATTATACACATAATACTGAAACAATATATACAATTTTTCCCTGATTAACTTGAAAAAAGCAACAACAAAAAATCAAATTGAGCGAATGTAGTGAATTTTTCCGAAAATATGTGTTTTATTCTTGTAAAATTCTTTTCCTATGTACCCTCTAAAATTATCCTTAAAGCCTATCATTGAATTAGATATGTATTTATGATATTCTCTAGAAACTGTTATATTTTATGTGTGTGTGAATGTGTGCGTGTATGCCTATCGAAAAAACTGCCAATTATTATGACTGATAACCGTCAATACTTCCTCTTCTAGAACATATATATGTATATATATATATATGTAGGATGTGTACTTTATGGTCAGACAGACATGCCGACAGATTGTATAGGTAGGTTGGTATCAAAAGAAAGCAACGGAAGGTGCGAATAAAAAAAAGTTACACAATGATGGACAGGTGAAAAAACATTTTCATATGACGGCGATTCTAGTTTTACTGTCTATTATTTGTGGAAACTGTCATTTCTATGTTTAAAAGTTAATAAAAGAGGTAATGGGGAATAAGAAATCGAAATTACTTCTGGACATGGTTTCGAGTATGCTGCAAAATAAATTCAAAGAAGAAAATGGTGTAGCGAATAAAAATAATGTAATAATCCTATGGTTAGGATGTTGATCAGGTACAAATCCACCCTTCTATTATTAATTATGATCATTATTAATATTATTCCCTTGAATTCTGAGTGGAAAAAAAGGCTATAACGGCACATCGCTGTTTGATTCTATTTATCTCAGTCTTGTTTAGCTGACTGTACGATTTCCCAGAAGCTTTCGTCCCCCCTCCCGACATAACCACTTCCACGTCTCCCCTCGGGCCCATGCCCAACTCGTCTTTTCCTATTCAGATGGCCTGCTTTGTGGTTATTACTCAACGGTCTCCTCAGCGCATACGCGGTCTGTCTCCATCTTCTTCCGCATACTTGTTCGGTGATAGGTTCTTGGTTGGCTCATTGCCAGACTGTTGATGGTCGATTATTCTTATTTCTGGTCACTTAATCCTCAGGATAGAGCGAAGGCAGCTGTTGGTGAAAGTCCGCAGCAGTCTGTTGGAAATGTTTTTCATGACTCTGACACTGGCTTCACATTACTGTTTAAAATCTGAATCTTGTTCTATATACTGAGAGCACGGGATTTCTATGCCCATTCAGGATAATGAAGGTCTGTGCTGGTCTTTCTATCCTAGTTGGTTTTCTTTGACAGCTACAACTGTGCCGTCTGTTGTTGAAAACCTGCTACCTATCTAGTTGGATGAAATAGGTGTCTTGCGTCAGACGATGATGATGATGATTGATGCTTATTGTTCTTGGTTAAATATCTTCATGACCCTGTCTTCTCTATGTTGGCCAAGTTAAACTTCAGGCACCACTAACTATCAATCAGCGAACGAAGTCGAATTGTCCAATGAGATTCATGAAGTTGAGTTCAATGTTGTATAGCTCTTGAATCGTTTCAAATGTGTGCCCTAACGAAGCTATGGTTGCAGTTCAAGGGGGATAATGTTTTGCAGTATTTCCTGGATTTGGGCTTGCTTAGGAAGGAGATAATTTGTTCGTGTGATGAGTTTAAAAAGCTTCAGCAGGTCGACTGATGGATATGTTGTCCATCGTTGTGAAATTTCTTTGAGACACGAGTTAGCATTAGAGAATGTAAGCTGGTAATATCAATATTTCGTAGGGATTTTTTTGGACACAGATTTTGTATATTGCTTATTGGTTGTTAGTGATGCTGAAGGTTTAACTTTGCCTCTATGTCTACTTGAAATTCTGTCTTCGTTGTCTTTTCTGAAAACCTGTTGGTTTTTGTCTGTAGATCGTCTAGTTATTATAACATTAGAAATAAATCACCCTCGAAGTTGAAATCTCCAAGATTATTTAGTCGGTCGAATCTTCCTGTTCCTCATGGTATGTTTCATGAACACGTTCACCACAGCCACGAATATTTTTGTTAACAGTAGACACCCTTGTCTTAGTTCTTTCTTCGCCTAACCTGACCCAGTGTGCTAGGTGCTTCACTGTCAGAGTTCAGGGAGACAGGGAATGTTGGGCATAGCCCTAAAGTCATTCGAATCGCTACACAAACTTCTAAGTACAAATGCACTTAGATCATTTAAATAAATTTTGAGTCAAAAAGTTCCTTATTGTGTAGGTCTGGATTGTTAAATGGATTGCAGCCAGATAACCTCATATTTCTCTGTGTTCCTGAGACTAACAGTCACTTACTTGGTGGATTGATTCAACGTCTTGATTTGGCTATCCTTCACTTCCTTTCTCTAACACTGCTTTCCTTAACAGTGTCTCACTCCAAGTTTCTGAATAATATAGGAGAACTGACTGACTTAACATTGGTGATAAAGATCTGAATCTTCTTCCTTATTCTGAGTTAAGAAGGTTTCCAAACGGATTTTAGAATGATGAAGACGTACTTTGCTTCTTCGATTCTGGCTTTAACACCTTCATCCGTTCCTCATATAGTTGAAACGATGCTCCCTAACCAGATAAGTGAAAGAAGCGACATCTGTCGAATTTATTCCGTTGATAGTATTTGGTGTTTGTTGTCTTTGATTGGTTAGTCATCATCATTACCCCCGACTTCTCTATGTTCACCTAAAGTCTTGTCTATGATCATAATCAATAAACTAGTTAAAGTTATTTCACAGAGGCCGATTCTTATTGGTCTATTTCCTGACTGGAAATCGATCAATCACATGGGCCAAATTCTGATTGGTTTACTTCTAGACTGGATGTCAACCACCGTAACATCATTCCTGTTTCTTTTACTATGAAAATGAAATGCGACAATGATAGACTCTTCTGTAAATCCATGTTTTCGTGTGTCATTCTTTTCAGCTATTTGATTTCTACATCGCATCAGCATAGACTTTCCAGTTACGTCACCTTTCTGGCTACTCAAATCCCGTTGTATATATACCACATTTTTGCGTTTTATCACGCAATTCGTATATTTATTTACTGATTTGGAATAAATATGCCTACTTGAAAGGATTATCATAGCGTTTTTCCCATTCCACTTTGTCTGTTTTTATTCCCAGTTATCTTTTTTCTTCTTTTACTTCGTCTTCCTACAAATAGCAGCTAAGTTTTTTTTGTAAATATTCACTACATCCTGTTGACTTTTGATAGTATTCGCGTGCTACTCTTATTTGCCTAGCAGAGACACCTACCTACTAACTTGTCATCCATGCACTTGTGTATCTCTGTGCAATTCTTGAATGGGGATTTGTAGATCCTTTCAACTTTTATATATTGATATGTCCAGTTAGCTAGCGGTCGCATGTGTGCTTGCGTGTGTGTGTGTGTGTGTGTCTGTGTAGGAACAGTCATGTTTATCAGGGTTAGCCATGCCATTTTTCTGAATATTCTTTGACATTGTCATATAGTTTCTGCCTGCTTGTTTTTTTGTTTGTTTGTTTGACTGTTGGGTTTTTTCTGTTCCTGTTGTGATATCTGTTAGAAATTAAAATTGTTCTATTTCCTACTGTCTATTTGTTGGTCAGTCAGTTAGTTAGTTAGTTAGTTAGTTAATGAGGCAATTATAATCATGTTGCTTGCTGTCTAAAGCAATTAGTAGTTTCCCTATAGTGATTTTCAACCAAGTCAATACAAAGATTAAATTTATTTGAATGATGTGTACCATGTGATTTCAGGAATAAATGATGAAATGGCATCCTGGATTCCCTATGCTAGTCACCATCAACCAATTAACTTCGAATTACATCCCCAGACATCGTCGAAGCATCTGCACAAGAAGGCGCTGACATGTCAACTTGGGACCGAGCGTTTCGGTCCATTCAATCTACGGGAAAATCTAAAATTTGATTAAATATGTATACATATATATATATATATATATATATATATATATATATATATATATATATATATATTGAGAAGCATTTTTATTTTTATGCTTTAATAAATCCTTTGTTCATCTCTTCATGTTTTTTCAGATGGTCTCTGGTGTATGCATTCATGAATTGACAATGAATCGTGATTATGAATTCAATGATTTAGCTCATGTGTTGGTTTTTGCTGGTGTTCCATGCTAAACGTCTTTTTTGCTTTATTTCTTTCCGTTGTCATTAAGGTGTGTGTGAAACACAATTAGGAAGATGTCTAAGATTCATTTATGCATCGTCGTTACATATACTACTTACTACTACTACTCATAAAACCGGCTTTATTTCAAAAAACAGTGTGTTTAGTACAGTATGGAATTTTCAGCATCATGACGTAACTTTATTGCTTTGTTTCTCCTTTTAACAATATATTCCGTATTTATTTTTTTTTGATGTGGATAACAATACCCTGGTGAATGTTGTCGTTGTTGTTATTGTTGGTGTTATCGTGAATAAATTTATTCCCTTTTTGCTCTTCATTCATCTGTGGAATATTTTAACTGATTGTATTTGGTCAAAATGGTATTTTCTAACTGGAATATATAAATGTGTGTAGCATTTTAAAGTTAGTTGATTATTTCCTTTGCCAAATGAAAAGACAATTATTAAGTTCAGATGACCTGGATGTTGATATAAGAGGGTAGTAAGTAATAAAAGTGATGAGTTGTCACAAACGATTGTTAAAGAAGAGTTGCGTAATATAAAATGAATAATTTGATGAACGAATTGTGCTCAGGGTGAACATAGAAACAAAATAACATACGGAATTACGCAAGAGTTTTAAGTAGTTTTTCTGAAAAAACAAGCATACAAGCAAAAGTTAAGTAAAATCAAGAGAGTTGTTACCATGTTAGTAGAAGTGGTTGAATAATTTTCTCTTTTATGCGTAGTTCTCGTTGTCCTAACTGAATGTAATACAAGAAGACGGAAACATATTGTCTTTGGCAGGTTGTTCTTTTTTTGTTGAACAAATTGAACGAATGATCTTAACACTGGGAACTACTAGTCGATGCATTCCTCTGTATACCCCTTGTTGAACTTTTACTAGTGAGATGCAGTTCCAAAATTATCTTAGATGGTTGCAGGCAATCGTCAGCTGGCCTTGGACCTAGGTTTCGTGCTAGTTGGCACTTGTCAGCAAGGTGTATCTTCAACCTTGAAGGTTGCCAACTAGCACGAAACCTAGGTCCAAGGCCAGCTGACGATTGCCTCCAGCCATCTAAAATATCATCAAATCAATGTGCACCGTGATGGAGAGCTACCTAGAATGGCGACCTTATTACAAACCTGACTGATAAAATTCAGTTTGCACCATAGAAAGGACTAGACACATCACTCTAGTTACTAGTGTCCAATCAAAACGTTCCAAAATTATATTCCGAAAATACCAAAATTGATGTTTGACAGTGTCAGAATCTGTGGCCTTATTCAACAAGAATAATAATCATTGAACTGATTAAAAATGCTTGTTAACATTTTAAAAGGAATGGTTAGTGAACAAAGAATAGTCTTCTCGATAACCTACTCTTTATCAGGTTCTACAGTTATATATACATACATTATAGTGACTGTTTTAGTGTTATTAACAACATCAATGCTGTTCAAATAACATCGAATCAATGAGAATAATAGTATCAATGGATTACAGTTCAATAGCATCAATATAACAATACACACTGAATATCAGACAGGCAAATTTGGAGAGATAATAATAATACCAATTCCTGAATTTATAGTCTCCAATGAAGGCTGGCCAGGGCAGTAGTAGTGGCTGGCTGAACGTGATTCTTCTGCACACAAAGAACTGGTTGTTTTACACGATAGCCTCTGCTGTTTGGAGTATGCGGTACCTCGATGCTTTTGGAAATTTATTTGGTTCTTGGAAGATTATAGAGAAGGATTCTTCATTTCTGTCTTTGTGACCAGCCAGTTTGGATCAGATAATCTAACATCTAACTGTTGATGGATTTTATTGCACCTTTATTTAGCCATACTATTAGATGTTCCCGAGTGAGCACGAAAAATCAAGTTCCTAGAGCAACGGCCAATATAACTGGGTTCACCATTTTCGCAGTTAATTTGGTATATATAATTAGAATTGGCTAGCCAGCCTAAATACTTCATCTCTCAATCGAGGAATCACCATCGGTCGTGTAGAAAATAAGACTTGTAAATTACCAGTATTGAAAGTTCTTTGAACTGATTTTCTCAACTTCTTCGTAATTATTTCGCTAGATATTCCACCCATGAATTGCAGTCGTATGAATAAAGACGTCTTGTTCATGGATAGTGAATAATCATTTTCAACTTTCTTAGTCATATGTTTTCCGATGGATTTGCCTGGATAGCTGTTTTCAGTTAGGGTGTCATAAACAATCCTAAGTTCATCTTCACTTACCTTTTCTGAGCATATAGCTCTAACCTTGTGGCTTAGGGTCCTTACTAAATTTCCTCTGAACTGGAGAGAAACGAAGCTATGAAAATATGTATATTGTCCTGTCCATGTACTTTTCCTATGCACATTTTTCTTAATACTGTCATCTGATTTTCTTCTTAGGAGGACGAACATCTAGGAGGGTAATTAGTTTTATTTTGGGATTCTCCTTCTCACTTGCATTTCAAAGCAGAATGTCCTTCATTGAATTGAGTTATTCTTGTATTCCTATTCGTATAATTTTCACAAAAACTAAAGGCGTCATTCATATGCAAGCAATAAAATGAGAATTTTCTGATGATGAAGTTATCGTGAAAGAGTACAGTTTGTTCAGTAACCATTCTTTTGAAAAATAATAATTTTCATCGAAAATACAAAACTACCTCAATAATGCTCTCTGGCAGCTATAGAGTCTGAGGTACACAGAGCGTACTAAGAATCGATGAAAATATTTCCAACAGTGTGGATGAAAACTCTGTCTGCAAGATCGAACAGAAAGAAAACACATTTTTCTCGTTCATTTTGTTAACCACTGTTCCCTTGGGTTCCTAGTAGAACGAACATAGGGCTTCAACAACACATCTCCGCTGCACCACTATTCTCTGTAGTCCTCTTTATTTGCCCCCCCCCCGCCGCCAACTTCCCGTCAGCGGTTTTCATCTATCTTCTCACTAACATGATCATCTCCTCTATGTTCCGATTCGTCTCCATTTCCTTCTACAACATATTTTTTGAGCAATAGTTTCTTGCTTGGTTCGTTGCCTGATAAATATTTTTCGCTGGTCATTCTTATCTTCAGAATCGAGCAAACGTAGCTGTTGATAAGAGCCTGAATTGGCCTGTTGGAAATTGAGGAGGCCATCGAATGACATCGTGTACCAGTCATAACCAGGAGTGGATTCTTAATAGAGAGCAACAAGGGGGTCGTCGGGTACGAGGATGACATGCAGGAGGTCTTGTGGCGAGAATGAGATGGGAGATGACAGTCAGCCGTGAACGCAGATAAAGAGGACGGCAGAAAATAGAAGAAAGCGGAAATGTGTTGCTGAAGCTCTGTCTTCCACTTGGAACCCTAGGGAATAATAATAATAATACCACTTTACATCTATTTCACAAGACTTTTGTTTTATTTTTTAAACTTATTTTCCATTTTTTGAAAAACAAACACTAGAATTATTTTTTGAACAATTGTGTATAAATGAATAAAAGATATTTGATATTCTTTTCAGACTTTTCGAGTTTATTATTCACCATAGAGACACGAGGTAGTTCACGTTACATCTTGATCTGTTCAGTAAACTGCGTTCATTCATTGTCCAGAAGCTTAAGCATGTTGTATTGCGAAATATTTCCACTTTGTGTAAAATATTCAAGTAGGAAATAGTAATCGGTAATATTCTTCTATTCAAAGCACGTTGTAATATAACCTACAACACTGGCCCTCAATTTTTTTTCGAGATTTCCACAGCAGTAGTTTAAGCACTATTAGAAAATTAGGCGTAAACACACTTTATGACTGATGGATGTTATTGAATAACTAAGATCACGTTGAATAGACCAATTCAGATGCATTTGGATCAGTTGAAACTTAGTAGTCCAGTGTTCTACATCAATTTTTTTCCTTCACGTTCCCTAGTGGAACATAGGGCCTCAAGCTTGTGGCTTCAAGTTTCGGTAGCAGGATGGGGTTGCTAGCCCATGCCCAACCTTTCCTCTTTACCAGCATTACTTCTGGCTTAGCGAGGTAAAAGGGTGCGTCGGCGGGGGATCGAATCCCGGACCATGTGCGTGGTTGGCGATCGTCCTAACCGCTATGCCACCGACGCCGTTCTACATCAATGGATTACGTAGTTTTGTTTCTCCATACCGAAAATAAAAATCGGTATGCAATCTTCAGTATTCTGCACTGTCACCCCTGAAGTTAGATTAGTTAATCTATCCTCCTCATTAGTGTAACAAGTGATTAGTTCCAAATCCTAGTGAGATTTTATTCCGTTAGATTGTGTTCATTTTAACTTTGAATAGAGTACTACGCATTATCCGTGTATAACCTATACAATAAAATACATGGGAGGCATGATCGAGACATGCTGTAACACAATAAAAGCTTGGAGATGACATATATTCAGTGCTATTCTAAAAATTACAATGCGCATCGTACGATGTCGTTGAATTTCCAGATGGTAGCACGCCCCAACTGCTTTTTTGAAGGACATTATTATGGGAAGCTCCATTTTTGGGTTGCAACAAGTACCTTGTCGAGCCGGTATTTTCAGTAAAGCACATGATCGACACTTGTAAACCACTTTGCCACCACCAGATCCTTGGAGACTTACTTCAATGGAGTACATAACAAATTAGCTGCTAAGTCGCGCTTCATCAAACACTGAGTAAGACGAGTACAGAGAAACTCTCCTCTGGGATAATTTGGTAAGTCTGGAGAAGCCGCGTAAGTTAGGTATCTTAAATTATCGAAATAATCCAATGGTTTTACTCCAGGTGGTTGCTAACAGTTCAGAAAGGCAATATTATAAGTGAAGGAAATGTTGTCAGGATCGAAAATCACATCCAGGATCATCAAGTTGTCTATAATTGTGTTAGCATGTGAAAAATTACCTGCAATGGCTCGGTGGAGAATATCATCATTTAGGGCCAGCATCATCTGCATATAATGATATTGTGGCACAAGGCAGTTCAAGATACATTGCATACGAAATTTCCACAGTTCATAATCGCCACTAACATCCTAATCGGGTGACTCGTTTTGGTCCAACTTCTGACACCAATTTCGTAACACACTGTCTGGTAAGTACACAAAAAAGGAAGGTGAAACGCGAACTGAGAGAGAATGTATATTCAATACACTTACGGCCAAGCACTCATAAACAATCAGTCTTCTTGTCTTCATTAGTATGAAGTCTCAGCAACTGCTCTTCCTATTACGTCAAAAAGTTAATCCCCAGATATTTTCCTGAAAGGCAAAGAAAAGAAAATAGTCCAATGTTTGTCTTCTAAGGGTTTATGCGGTTACAATACTTCAGTCTCTTCTAAATGATATAAAGAAGGTAGTTGCCTTTATGAATTTCGACAACACAATAAGAAGACGTAGTTAATGTGCATTTGCGCAACAC